AAAGTAATATTGTCTATATCATCTGTAATTGTGTTGCTAAAGTAGTCTTAAGTCAGAAAAGTGTGCTTCGTTAGTAACAGGAAACGCAAGCATGAAAATACCTTTGTTCCCATGACAGTCGGACCTACGTAATCCATATTTATGTATGTATATTGGTCAAACGCTGTCACTCCAGCAGCATCCCCGCAAACTCTGGGAAATTCGTATGGTGTTACAACAAAAACAGTAAAGATGCCTTTGTTGTTTTCTTCTTAGCTAACGTATTAAAGCGTTTGAGAAGAGTTATTCTTATAAGAAATACCTTAGTGCAATTATTTATTTTTAACATTTAAAATTATTTCTAGCAAATCACATGGAAATTATGAGCAACAAAAACGAGTAGCTCCTCATTGTATTGACTTAAGCTATTTTACTATTATTATGGTTATTATGTAGATAAAAGCACAGATTATTGCCAAGTTAATTCCAAATAGCGGTCGCTAGTAATGCCAAATGGATTTAAACTTTGTTTTAAGTAGGGATACTGCAGAAGGCATTGCTGATATAAACAATAACGAATTTGAGTAACCCCTACTATTTTTATGTTTTGGTAGATGATTCAAATTAGACGCCAAAAATAAAAATTTCCTTAGGTAAAAAAAAGAAAGAAAATAATACTCTCACTCTAGTTCAGTACTGTAAAACTTGTACCAATCAACCAAACATTTCTTGCTAGTTGTCATTTTTGCCAAACATGCATACCTTTGTAATAGGTTTAACTTAAAGAACTAATTCTTTCGTAAATGGGAGCTACTCCCATTGACTAATTTCCCCACCCCAACACACGCCCGCACCGATGCCTAATTTAGGCATTCCTTTATGCTTGCAACAAATTTGCAAGCTAACAAAAGCTAGTTGCAATATATATTATTTTACCTAATTATGTTACATACATATGCATGTATATATTACATGTACATACATACGTATATTTAGAATTTTATATTAATTTATCGCTAAGTCCACACGAACAAATTGTAAAATACTTAGATTTTTTTTATAATAATGGTGAAATGTGAAATGCGCATAGTGGGTGTTTAAGCAAAGTGTTTTTTTAAACGGTATTTTATTTGTAGAACATTTTTTGTAGTTTGCAAGCATAACTTTAGATTTGAATGAACCTCGAAGCATTTCTGAAATGTTACAATTAAGTTTAAGAAAGCGTTTTTTGTATATTTTTAAAAACAAATTTAAATCAGTACACTATACAAAAAAGCACATACACAATAACACTACAAAAAACCATAAGATTTAAATAAATGCTTAAAAAATATATTAATTAGTTTGTAGTTGTATGTATGTTACAATTGATTGTATACTTTTAAATTGGAATAATTAAGTTTTAAAATGAATCAAAATAGAATTGGGTAATAAATGTAATAAATTATTAAAATTTAAAAATCATTTTCGCTAAACTACCGAACTAAAACAAAATTTAATATTAGGAGATCTGAGACATATGTACTTTTTGTGTAATCTTTAAAAACTCAAGTCAATCTTTGCCTAATTTTCCTTGTCCATGTGTTATTGAAAAGTCATTTTCTCCCTTAATTAATTTATTTTAAGAAAATTAACACCAAGAAGGAATAAGTATCAAGAAATTATTAGCGATCAGCAAAAGGTAAATCGAGTGCTTATATTCAATATCCTCGCATCTGCATTTTTCACAAAAACTAATGTCTGATGTCTTAACTATCATCCCTCATTGTTGTGAAAATTCTAGACAAAGCGACCTAAAATATTTTTAATACAGCTCTAGCGTAAAATTTGCGTTAACCCAGCAGAAAATTGGCAACTGCTTCTTGATATGAAAAAGTCGTGTATTGGTCCAGACTCTACTTCCGAGTGAGTTTCAACCCCTGCCAATTTAATTTCAAAGCGAATTTGATTTAAATTAACTCGGAAGGGAAATGCAAAACCTACCTTAAAATTAACAAAATAAAATTAATTTTAAATTTCTAACCTCTTTATGCTTTGTCAAGCCGTACACCGATGTTTTTACACAACAAATTTCCTGAGTATCTGGTTCTCCCGCTTTTTTTCTTAAATATGTATTTAAAGATTCCTTTTCGCACACCCCATTCTAATCCCTTATCAATTGCGCTCAAATTGATTTCGTAATCTCGCTTCCAGTAGCGCTTATCTCTCGTCACTCTCCACACACAAAGGCGACTGAGCAAGAGTCTCATTCTTAGACAATATCAAATTGTCTGGCTGGCTGCAGCAGCTTAGCTTTCGACTTACAATTCCATTTGTGTGCTGCCTTCCGTATAGTGCGCGCATCTCCGGACGGCTTATTTTATAAGCGAGCATCGAAGTATCTGAATCAATACTCAGTGTTTCTTGTTTATTATTGAATGTTTTATTGTTCTTGCTGATCGGCGCTAAAAGTGCTTCTGATAAATTGTTGTTGTTTATACTCGACCAGAAAAAAAGATGCTTCGAACGCGCACATGGATCGCGTTATCTTTTGTCTTATTTCTTTGCTCGTATTTTAGTGATGCGCTAATACAAGACGAGGACGATGGTAAACTAGTAGCTTTGCAGTATACACAAAATAAAAGTTAAAATTAAAAATGTATGTATGTATGTATATTTTTTCTTTGTTTCAGCATCATCAACGGAATCCTCCGCAGAGGTTGATCTTTCCAGCGATGCAAAAGACGATCATAATGTACGTGTAACCGAGAATCGTTTAGCTGCACAGCTATTCGCCGTACTCGAGCACTTTAAGCAAGAAGATCCAGTGGGTCTTCCGGGTGCACCGATTCCAGATCCCATGGAGGTGCCGGATATTCGTAAAAGTGTCGGCATGGGTACGTTGAGTATGTCCAAGGTGAAAGCTTATGGACTGTCGAAATTTCGTATCGACTCTGTTAATGCGGACTTACAGCAAATGGTGGTAAGTAAGATATTTCGTCCAGCCAAAGCAGTCAAACAGAACTAAAATTAGGTATTAAGCAAAAAATACTCTTACGGGGAAATTCATAAAATCACGTTGAAACTTAGATTTTATTGCTGTTGCTTGTAAGATCACTGCTATTGATAAGAGCGATACGCATTTGAAATAGTCGTTTTTAAGAAAGTCTAGCGAGAGAAAACTGAAATGTATTTTTTTGCTGATTGATAACAGGAGCTGTGAGTTTGTCAATGAAATTAATGATTTAAAAGCTAGACTTACGTCAACATAACTAGTTAGCAGTGTATTTTACTTGATCAGCAGAAGGCTGTGCCGCCATACCCGAGAGGCTGGAAGTACATATGTACCTACACTCGATAGAATCCAGGTCTGACACCTTCTCTGCGCATTCACCACTCAGCAGGCAATCGCAAAATTCTGCCGTTAAAGAAAGGTTCCTCCATTTGTGTCACAACATTAAAACCACAACTTAAAGATTGGTAATGGTTTACAGTCCTTCCTAGTAACTGCATATAGTACAATTAACCCATTATATGTATATACTGGGTGCCTTAAACCAGCCGCCCACCCCTTGTAAAATGAAGGGTAATGTTGTTTATTGGAAACACAAAAATGTGACGTACCAAGTCGGGGGTGCTCCATCTTTTGGTCGTATTACAGACTTTCGGTTTCGACCAAAAGTATGTTAAGCTGACTGAAAGTCCATTTTTGTAAATAGGATATGTTTTTACTGCAAACTAAAAAAATGTTTTTATTGAAAAACGAATATATATGAATTACCAAGTCGGGAATGCTCTATTTTTGGACATAGTACCGACTTCCAGTTTTGACCGTTAAACTGACCGGAAGTTAATTTTTTTAAATGGCCCAGGCTTGCTTTTACCACAGATTCGGATTCTGAGGACAAGAATACGTAAGTTTTCCGGGAAACTTTTTTCTCGAATGGACTTCCGGTTAAAGAATAGACTTCCGGAAGGTTTAATCCACTTCCGGTCGAAAACGAAAGTTATGTATGAAAGTATGACCAAAAGATAGAACATCCTCGACCGGGTCATTCATATTTTTTCGAATAGCCGATAAAAGCAGGTTTGTTCTATTTAAAAAAATGGACTTCCGATCAGTTTAACCCTTTTCCGGTCTAAACCGGAAGTCGGTTATAGGACCAATATGTAGAGGCAGGCAGGTCTAGAAGCGTCTATTTATGCCCACGCAGGTTAGTAATGGTAGTTTGCCGACCTTGGTCTGTGTAGGTTTTACTTATGTTCACGAGACCCATGAGAGCTTGTCATAAGGGCAATTGCATGTTTTCTCTTTGAAGGAATTCCCCAGATATTCTTCCCTTTTCTTTTTCCTGGAGAAAATTACTCATGAGTTACATTTTCCCCAGACTGGTTAACTTTTCACTTTTCGTTTCCATGTCTTTACTATGGGCGGATGAAAGATTTTTGGTTGAATTAGTTTTCGGACGAAATTTAGAATAAGGCTGACTATGTTATCCTTCTTGGGATTTGCGTTTAACCCAACTTTAATGAACCATTTGGCCACTAAGTACGTTCAATAAATTCTGTAGGCGATTAGAGACAGTGCCTCCAAACCGAATTACCTGTTTAGGATGATAACGCTATACGACTAGCTTTGAAAATCGATACCCTCTGCACAAAAAAAAGCAGAGTAGTTTCGTCCTCTACGAAGGACCATAATATAGGGCAGATCACTCCATCTTGCAGGCATCCTTTAGTCACTAGGAATCTGACTCGTTCCTAGCGCGGATGTAATTGTTCTGGGTTTAAATATGCTAGCTATTCTTCGATTCGGATCCCATGTCGAAACAACGAAGGAAATAGCGCACACGAACACAGTGAAAGGACAAAGTGCAGAAGGACCTGTTTGCGCTTGGCAACCACCAATTCTCACTTTTCCTTTCGTAACTCTAAAGGGCATCGATAATACGTCTCCTGTTTTCTATGCAGTTTCCTGTAAGAAAACTATACCTGATATACCTGTATACGATTCTTTTGACGGATGACTTTTGTTGGAGTGCTGCTTTTCCCCGCAACTTGGCTATACTTCTGGATGATTACTTCCTGCATTGTAGCCGTAGGGTAGGTTGTTGTAGCGGCACTAATAAGCGCCATTTTAATCGGTTGGTCCGTCAATCGTTGTTGTTGCTGTTGTCGCGGCTACAACAACCCCGCCCAAATCGGCTAGTATCTCAGTCGTTGTGGCCAAGCTCAACTAACGGAAGACCCAGGAAGCGTGCAGCCTCTATAGGGTCTGTCCGCATGCCGGGCACTCATTTGGCACATCTGCATCTAATCTACTCAGGTATGAGTTCAACCTGCTGCAGTAGCCAGAGCGAAGTTGGGCTATTGTGGTCCGAGTCTCCCGAGGCAGACGAAACTCCGTCTCGCCTATGTCAGGTGGTTGTGTGCCCAGAACGGCATTCACAGGTCTCGAGTCGACGTAACTTGAGACTGACTCCGTGTGAATGCCGCTCAGGGCCTGTCGATATGCTGACGGGTCCGGTCCGGATGTTGCCTTATGAAACCTCTGGACTTCGTCCGTCAGTTCATATAGATGCCTTCTGACATGCCTTGACGAGGGCCCCTCTACAAGCAGGTGTCTGTTCGGTTGTCCACGTCTGTGGCTCCCTACTAAGAATTGCTGCAGAGCATTGTGTTGTGCTCGCTTTATGGAGAGCATTTTTGCCTCGTCGTTTAGGTGGTGTTCTGGCGACATTAGAGGACATCCGGTCGCTGTCCCAAGTACTGTGTTTTGTGGTATCTGCAGCTTTATCCACAGCGTCCTACTGGTCCCGGCGACCACACTGGTGCTGCGTAATTTAGAACCGCCCAATTGATTTGTATGTTGCCAGCAACGTTTCTTGCCCCAGGTATTGCCGCCTAGCGACTTGAGGACCTTGTTGCGGCTACTTTGTTGACAATTGCGGTTGTGTGCGCAGAGAAGGAGAGCAGACTGTTGAAAGTTACTCCGAGTATATTTGGGTTGAGAAAGCTCGGGGAGATACCCATTTACTTTCGAACACTAGTCATCAATTCCATTTCCAGACTCCATTCGTGACTCCCTCTGGTGGTTGAGGGAGTTTGGAAATATAAAAGTTAAACAGTAATGGGGAAAGGACACCACCCTGTGGAACTCCCTGCTAATCGTTGTCGTCAAGCTCAACTGACGATAGCTCCAGGAAGTGTGCTGTTTCGACAGATTTGAGACGCTGGACCAGAGGGAAAGGGATTAAACGACTCCATGGTCTGCTATTGGGTATCTGTTGTTGTTGTTGTAAGTTTTTGGGAAATGATTCTGGGGTGACAGTCCTTGGTCAGAAATGAATCTGGGTCGTTCCGGTTGCGTACACCATACTGTCGTGGGAACGGTTGGACCTCTACCTTTGGTAGGACTTTATGAAGTCTTACCGCTTCCGTTGTTACATCCTGCTCAAGTTCTCATTCTCAGTCTAGTAAGACGACACAGCCACCGATCATCGAGTTAGAAGGCCTTCGCCAATTCGTTTGTTGACTTTCCAATAAGCATATCCTAAATATTCAGCTATTTGCTTAAATATTAATTTTTATTATCTTTTCAATGCCGCCACCACCAAGGTCGATGTCGGCATACAATTGGATGAGATGAACGTTAAGGGATCTTACACGCTCAGTGCTCTTTTTACCCGTGCAAATGGTCCGTTCACAGTTGTCCTTAAAAATGTCTATGTCAAAGCGAACGCAGGGCTTGCGGTGGAAAAAAAAGATGGCCACTTAACTACGGAACACATCAAAATGGATATAACATTTCGTGATATGTCAATGGACTTCCAGAATTTAGGTTTAGTGGGCAATTTATTCCAAAGCGTAGTGAATTCTGCGCCTACACTCGTCTTCGATGCAATGAAACCATTCATGCTACAGGAGGCGGATAAGAAAATACGTGAGGAGGTAAATGGAAATCTGGAAAAAGTCTTAGGTGATCGGCGCCTGCCAAACTCAATTACGCCGCTCGACATGGCCATTGCCGAAGGACGTAAAAAGGTGCGAGAAATGGGCTATGATCCATATCATTTGCCTGACTATAATCGCACAGCTGGCATATTCACCTTTCATCTGCTCAACTCTTGGATTTATGGTGTGGCGAGTTTCTATCGCGTGGGTGATATGTCGGTGTCGATGCAGAATAACACAATTAAATTGCATTTCCATGTGGGTACACAAGAGATTGCCGGCGAAAGCCATTGGGAAGTGGATTTCGCTTTGGCTTCACGTACAGGAGTATTCAAATTCTCTGTACAATATATACGTTTAACTGTGGAAGTGAGTCAAGCGTTAGATACACGTAAGCGACCAGTTATCAATGATTTGCAAATCGATTTGGGTAACATACAAGTGCGCAGTGATGGCGCTGGTACATTGGATTACATTGCTGAGGCGGCCGTGAATATTTTACCAAATTTATTGCGCTATCAAATTATAGATTTACTAGAAAATCCCATTAAGACGCGCATACAAGAGAAATTCGACACAATTGATGTTGAGAAGGCAATCAAGGAGAACTTTGAAAAGTTCGAAAATATGGGTAGTGACTTTTCATTTGATTTTAAGCTATAAATGGAAATACTATACGATGAATATAATGCTAATATTTATAAAGGTAAATTAAATAAATAAACTTGTAAGCTACAAAGTTGGTAAAAGTGGCTTATTGCTTAAGCATAATTAGATCGGCTTTATATAAGTTCAAAAAAAGCCTGCACGGAGTCTAATCGGAAGAAAGATAGAATGGTATAACTAACAACAGGTAAGGTTATTTATATGCGCATAGATATATATTTAAAAAGTGTTTGTGAATAAATATGCGATTAACTTTAATGCGTACTACTTAATGCGTGTTTAGAAAATGTAATTTTAAAAATTTCACGTCAAACTAAAAATTTATGGATCCTTAACTGAAAAGCACATAAGCTGTAGCTTCATGCACTTTTTTACACGCTCCAAAATTTCGTCACTTTTCTTCAATTGCTCCGAATTAAGGGGCGGTTTTATAGCCTCCAAGGCTTCAAGGAAATAATTTCTGGAAAAGTCATTAATAAAATATAACAAACGATGCGTATACATTGTATAAACTCACTTTCCAGTTTCATTTGTATAGAATTTCAATGCATCCCTTATCAAGCGTATGTCAACATTAGCTTGTATAGCGCCGCTGTAGCTGAATTCTTGCACACAGCTCATTAAGCGCGCCAGCTCCTCGGAAACGGTTAACACAATTGGCTCAAGTATTGGACGTAGTAGTGCTGGTGATATGGTATATATCTCTGAATATACACCAACTAAGTTATCGCAGCATTCATGCGCATATGGACGCAATTTGCCAATTTCCATTTCATTATCCCATTGAAAACGACCCAAATACATTGAAGGTTCTATTGTGCCAACTAAGGGATCTCCTTTATGCTCTACATATGCCTCCAAGAGATTTGTAAATAGTTGATTTACGGAATAGCGTGAAGTTTCGATCGCCAGCGTGGGCAAAGGGTAACCATATCTAGAGAGAAATCCATAAGATAATGAGATTATGGCAGCATGTATATATAATAGTTTTAAGGCGGATAACTTACTTAACAAATACATCGCCTACGTGTGGAAAGAAACTCTTATTGCAATAGGCGCAGTTGGCTAGGCAACAAAGCATGCGTTGTTCCCAAGTTATGACGTTTGAGCTCCAAAAGCGTCCAGACGTTAGCCCGCTCTGTTGAACATTTGGATAGCCAATCAATTGCGAAACATTATGTGTTGGTGTTTCCTCGTCGTGTGACTGATAGGCCAACTCTTCAATAACACCGCAAAATGTAGATAAAAATTCTTGCAAACGTTGTGACACTTCGCGTTGACCGTCGGATTGAGGCTCGAGTAAGTTGCCTTCCCTTTAAGATAAAATGATTAGTTGAAGTACAAATAAAAAAACTTTGTTATTCATGCCAATTACGGTATCCCTCGGATGCCAATTACGGTATCCCGCGGGTGCCATTCGCACAAATCTAAACGTTCACACTTCCTTGTTATGCCATTGCGAATCGGATTAGATCCGTGCGGTGGCATACGTCGCATACCGTAATAGGCATGATTATTCTGATGTTCATTAAAAAATTTATGTTAACAATTATCCTTCACCTTATTTCTGGATTCATGCACGAATTTTGCGCCTCATCAAGCGTCTCTATCAGCAACTTCTCTAAACAATTTGGCAACATTGTTGCACCTGGGAAATCTTCGATACCCATATCCCAAGTTTCTTGTTCGCCCAACTTCTTGCAGCGATCACTAGCCCTTTTGAAAGTTATAGAAAAACAGAAAATACGTATTTCATCAATCAATTTTTGTATAATATCCAAAGCGTCAGATGGTAAATCCAAACGAATGAGAGTAGCGTATGTGATGCGCGTATAACGCAAACACTGTGATATCCAAGGTAGAAACTGATGAGTAGCCGACGACGAACCGATGGGCCAGGATAAGCCAGTTGTTTGACGCAAGGCGCGCAGATCCGAAGCAATGAGAATAGCAACACGCAAGTACGCGCAAAATTTTTCTATTCCATTTAAAACCATGCGCTATTTGAAAATTATTTTTTTATTAAGACATGTATGTATATTGGTAATACAAGTTTTTACGCACCTTGAAATCACCCGGCTTTGGATCGTGTGCCCCTCGCAGTTCACCAGTGAAATATAACTGCCCAAGGCGCCATAGGTCTGGCAGTTGTGATGCAGCTATATCGCAAATTTCTTCACAAAATACCACACGATTATGCGGTTGATTGGAATTATCGCGATTTTTGGATTCTAAAAATACACGAAAGAACGTATGGTTTGTCTGTAGAAATTATTAGTAAGTAGCCTACTTTCTTGTCCTGCTTGGTCCTTGGATGTGTACTGCTCGAATGTTTGTTTAAAGGTGAATTCTAAATACTTTGCACGTGCTTCGATTGCGTCCCAAGCAGGATCAACATTACGCAGACGATCGCCAATAGCGGTGCCGCTTTGCTGCACCTGAACCATAACACGAGAAAAGTTAACAATTTAAAATCACAAGTTTTTCATAGTTTACCTCAAGACTGGTTAACGCTTTTATTAGTTTCTTTTGTTGCTCTACGCTCTGCGGCATTTTAACTACTTTCTCGTGCAGCTGCTTTCGGATTTGTAGGATACGTTGATCCACTTCTTCAAGCACTCGACGAAACATCTGTACATATAATAAAAGTAATCTATTACGAGTTTTTATGAGCTCAACTACATTACTTACCGGTATTTCGGTTTTGCCAAAAAGGTTTTTGGCACGCGCGTAATCATTTACAACAATATCGTATTCGCCAGCCTGTGCGCGTCGTTCCACCGAATTTGGCAAGCAAAATAGGAATTTATGGCGCGATAACGCAAATAATACTGCGCGTGTGGAGTCAGCCTTTTCTTTGCGTAACAACACTTCCGTGAAAATATTTTGGGATTCACTAATTGAGCCTTAAAAGAAAGCAGTTAGTAAGGGAAAGTCAAAAATACAATTACCTACTCTCAATCGAGCTTTCAAGCACATTTAATGGCTCAGTGCCATATATGCGTGTGTCTTCTTGCAATTTATCTCTTATATTCATCAACGTATCTAGCTGGTCAATTACGGAGCCAGCGTTCGACTTCAAAAATGACAATTGTCCCTCCTTTTGACTTTCCACTTTACGCTTTAAATAGGATAAACCAGCCTTCAAATCCTCAAAGGAAGTTGCCAAGTGATTTTCAAGCAAAAACCAAGCAGGAGAAAAATTATCTTGCGATAAATCACCGCTTGCATCGGGAAACAAATCTCTTAAATCTTCCGGTATTTTTTGTTCATTGCCTTCAATAGACAAGCCGAGTGGATCTTCCTGTGTTAAAACTGATTGCGCCAATGTGCGTCGACCCCAAGCAAAGTTTTGTGAGGGAGATTCCTCTATCCATACCGCAGACTCTTTCAAGGGTCCAATTGTTTCATGATAAGCGCGGAACTGCACAGTAGAAGTGCCTTCGCCACCACTTATGGTGGTAACAATGATATCGCCTTTACCCTTCGCCGGCCCTGTACGCGCTATAATTTTATTAGGCGATTTCCATTCTGCCGATAGTAAGCAATCAGACCCACAGATTTTCAGACCTGAAATATAGGGCGTCAACGATAAGTGGGATTATGCTCCTTCTGGTGCTCCACTTACCAATTAAATCAGTTGCTCTTGTTCCTAAAAACTCTCCACGTATTATAACTCGAGTACCTGGAGGACCTTCCTTTGGCGAAAGCCCAGTTACGACCGGCTGTGGAGCCATTCGAGAATTTTTATAATTTATAGAGGAGCTCCAATTTTCGTGTAATTAAAATCATCAAGGCGAATTCATATGAGGGGAAAGCCCAAAGCGAGTTTATAGACATTTGATAGCACAAAAACAAAAACTACACTAACAAATTACCCGCACAATGACAATCGGAACACGAACAAATGTACAACAAACACATTGTTTTGGCAATGCGCACAATTCGCCTTGAAATCACCTGCTCTTGTAAAACCACCTTATATGAATTCGCCGCGGAAAACATAAACAAATGATTACAGTGGTGTTAGACATTGCAGTGCAAGCGCTTTTTATACGCATTTTGCTGTCGAAAGCTGGGACTCGGACTTTTAAAACTTGTATAATAAAAGTCCTTAGAAAAAAGTTATCCTTGCACTTTTATTTTATTTGAAATAAAATAATCGCTCAACCAAGATTTTTACTTTTTAGAGCAGTAATAACTGTGCCAAATATTTTTAAATCTAAAGTAAAAGTCCTTTCGTAATAATGAACAGTTGCCACCTATTTATATGTATATATTTTTTATCATCTATATTATCTATTATCATCGAAGCAGTTTTTTGTCCAGGTCATCAGGTCTGCACCGTCCGTTCGATTTTTGAAATGGTGGTGTCAATTTAAAGGGCTTGGCCTATAGATGTGCAATAAGGTTTTCTTCTTTCGAAGAGTTGCCACCTGTTAAAAAAATTAACTCAAATTATTTAATAGTCAATGCCATTTGATCCGCACCGTTCATTCGATTTTGAAAAATGAGGTGAGATGTTGCTGTGCCGTGAGGTTTAGTTTTTCGAAAATGGTTGCCACCCTTTCAAAAATAGGATTTATTGAAATTATTTTATAAGTTAAATGAGTTATAGCAATATGGGTATCAACTCAAATGGTTGTGAAAATGCTATATTTCTTAAGTACATGTAGAGGGTTGCCACCTGAAATATTAAAATATGGGTAACAAACGAAACATTTTCAAGGAATATTTAGTTTGAACTTGGAAATCTTTGTATAGGGTTGCCAACATTAAAAAATTGTATTCAATTATTTAATAAGTTAAATGAATTATTAAAAGATGGGTATGTATTCAGGAGAGTTACCACGTGTTTAGAGAATCAAATTCAATTCATTTCATCAGTTAAAAATACTCTATTTTGAAAATACTTTTAAAGAGGGTTGCCACCTTATTGAAAGTCGAATTTATGACAAAAATTTTACCAGCACGAATTCGCAACTTCCCCTCCAATTGAAATGTCAAAATTGTGCTCTCTCCTTGCAAGTTTTACTAGTTTTTTGACCAAACGAACACGATTTAGTAACAATTGATACCACCTTGTACTAGTTTTTTGCCTAGCGAACACTTTTGTATTTTGTCTTGTAAATAAGATGGCAGATATTAACCCAGTCAGCAAAAAAACCGAAATGGATCGGAAACGGGGGATGAAATGCGGATTTTTGTTGGTTTACAGATTGCATTTTCGGATACTTTGACAATCCGGTTTTCCAGTAAAGTGTGCAGTAGAAATGTATGCACAGACAAGAATCGAAAAATGTTTTGAAACGGATAAGTTTTTAGCTGTTTTTCTAAATTTCTCTATTTATTTGTTTATTCTATATTTTATAAATAAATAATTTTTTTCATTTAATTTACTGATGCTTTTACAGATGCTTTCTCATGGTTCGAAAAAAAATATATATAAATAAGGAAGCGCCTGGCGGTATTCGAATTCGAAACTTTCTGAAAGCTAACAAATACTACCACGCCCAGCCTCTATCGACTACGTATACATGCTTTCAAATGTTTAGCTTCAACAAATCAAATATAATTTCTGCTTTAAATAATATCATCTTTTTCGAACGTTTTCCATATAAGAAAATGAATGAAAATCATAGTCGCTTTCCGTTCCAGCTCCGCTCCAGCCAAAATTTCTTGCTCCTTAGCCTTTTGCTCCTTTTCTCCGCCCTGCTCCGAAGCCCGGGTTTTTAGTCAATTTTACAGGTAATTTAGTTTGTTATAATCATAAAAATTTCTGGTAACAATCGATTAATAATAAAATCGTTTTGATTGGAATTTATCATCCATCTCTATCCGATTTGACTTTAGCAGAGACAGTCAACTTTTCCACTGTCAACTAATCTGATTTGGATGAAATGGATGACGTTGCCGTGGTCCAAAGCGAAAATGAGAATTTACGCAAAGTGCGGACGAGATTGCTTCAGTGGGAGTCAAGTAGTGACGCGCTTGCTCCATTAAATGCTCTACAATTGGAATGCTTGGATGTGATAAATAACCAGTGTCGAACCTACAATGAGGTAATTGCCAACCGCACCCATTCACATTGACTCAAAATTCTGATAAATTTTTCACTTTTAGGTGCCGGAAGCCACATCTAACGCAGGCTATGGAGAACAATCAACTACTGCGGACAAACCACATTATGACTCAACGAGTATTACCGGCAGTGCAAGTGCGCAAGAATTACTAAGATTACCATCGCCTGGAATCAACAACAGTAAAGATTTCCTATTGTGGTACGATCGAGTGAAAGAGGAAATTACACGTCACGCAGATGCACATCATTATCAGTACTTGCAACAGCTGGAACAACGCGATGCTGAGTGTGGGGAAATTTCGGAACAGATCAACTCCGCAATGGGGCAGCTCAAGTCGTTGAATAGTGAATATGAAACAGTATCACAAAAAACTAGTGCACTCAATACAGCCAGCGAAAAGTTGACGGAGGAGCAAAAACGTTTACAAAAGCTAGGAGATGAAATACAGCGACGATTGCACTATTTCAGCCAAGTAGAGCTGCTGCATCAGCGGCTTCAAAGCCCCACACTCTCCGTGGCAAGTGAGGCATTCCGTGATTGTTTGGATCGTATCGATGAGTGTCTTGAGTACTTGAGAGCAAATGTAAGGCATTTTTTTAACGAGGTCTATATTTATTTGCATTTAATTTTTCTTCTATTTTTTAGCCCAAGTTCAAAGATGCTGGTGCTTACACAGCAAAATACAAATACTGTCTATCGAAAGCCGTGACTTTAATAAAGAACTACACACAAGTTGCAATGTCACAAGCGACCGCTGCCACGCTGCATCCCAAGCAGTCGCATTTTGCAATGCTACAAAGCACGACATCAACTGCAATAGAAGGTGAAAAGAAAGCCAACACCATAACAGCAAGTACTTCCCCGGATGCAGCGTTCGCACTTTATTATGGCAAATATCAAACAGCTGCTGTGAAAATTAAGCGCGTGGCACAACTTGTCGAATCTCGTTTAGAACGCAGTGTAGAATATGAACAGCTGCTAGCGGAAATGCATCAAAATTATCTAAACGAAAGGGCAACTATTATGTCACCAGCTGTTAATAAAGCTATACAAGAGCTGAAGGCGGCACACAAGGGAGATCATTGTGCGCTCACGCGCAGCGCTTGCTCATTCCTAGTGCATGTTTGTCAGGACGAGCAAAGGCTCTTTTTCCAGTTTTTCGCGCGGGGCAGCGATCAATTGACGTAAGAAATAGTAGTTATTTTTCGAGCTAAATTAAGATTTAAACAAAATTTTGCTACTTTTAGCACTTATCTGGAAGGCCTGTGTACCATATTGTACGATACAATGCGACCTTTCATTATACATATTAACCACTTGGAGACATTGGCGGAAATATGTTCGATTTTACGCATTGAAATGCTCGAGGAGCATGTACAACAAAATCGTGAGTTACTAGAACTACGTCTATTTCAAGTATATGTTGGTTAATATAATTTGTGTTCAGCTGGGGCGCTCGAAGCTTTTGCAAATACCGCAAATCAACTACTGCAGGATGTACAGGAAAGGTTGGTTTTCCGTGCGCATCTCTATTTACAATCGGACATTTTGAATTACAATCCGTCGGCTGGTGATCTGGCCTATCCAGATAAATTAGAGATGATGGAGGTAGAGTAATATAACTGTTTTCTTACAAATTTTTTTATTGGTAGCAAAATATACATAATTTTTTTTTTTTTTTTTGCAGAGCATTGCTTTGTCACTGCAGGAGCCACAGCACATGCGTCGTTATGACTCGCGGTCTTCGCTCAATTCAAGTATTTCAAGTGCAATAGAAACGGAAAGCGTAGATACTGCATATCGAGCACGTAATATAAGTAATATCACTATTTTAAAATGAAAATGTACTACCTAAATCTAATCGTATCGCTTTCAGATTCATCTCCGGCGGATTTGCATGGCATGTGGTATCCCACTGTACGTCGTACATTAGTATGTCTTTCGCGTCTTTATCGTTGCGTGGATCGACCCATATTTCAAGGTCTCTCGCAGGAGGCACTCAAGCTATGCATACAAAGCGTGTCCGCAGCCGCTTCCAAAATTTCAACAGCTAAGGTAAAAGAAAATGTGATTTATTCCTTGTTCAAATCTCTGCAAATTATCACATTCTGCTCTCTACAGACCCCAATAGATGGCGAACTGTTCGAAATCAAGCACTTGCTAATATTGCGGGAACAAATAGCTCCCTTTCGTGTTGACTTTACCATCAAGGAGACTTCGTTGGATTTCAGCAAAGTAAAAACTGCTGCTTTTGGTCTTTTACACAAACGTAAACAGCTTTTCACCATGGGCAGCAATAATGCCCTGCTCGAGTTTCTGCTCGAAGGTACACCACAGATAAAGGAACATTTACTTGATTCACGTAAAGAAGTCGATCGCCAACTCAAAATGGTGTGTGAGCAATTTATTAAGGACGCGGTGCATATGTTAGTTTCACCAATCTTGCAATTTTTGGATAAAGCACAAGCATTATTACAAACGAAGGACAGCAAAGTTGCCGCAAATGAAAAAGAAGCTGCTGCACCAAAACTAAATTACGCCTTACGCCAGAGCGCATGGGCAAGCCCACAGCAAATTAGCAGCATCATTCAGGAAACACAACGTTTAATCAAAAGTAAACTATCAACACTGCAGCGTTCAATGCAGCTATACTTAAGTAATCGTGATACTGAATTTATAATATTTCGACCGATACGAGTGAGTACCTAAACTTGCATATATGTATGTACATATGTAGTTGACTCCCTTTAATAACTATGATTTCCACAGAATAACATCATTCAAACATTTGTTAAACTGGAACAAATACTAACCACAAACGGTTACAACAACGACGATATGACCATCACTGGCTGTCCAACGGCTGAACAGGTGTCTGTACTATTGTCTAGCGCAAGTATACTGGCGACTGAAGGTATAGTTAACTTCTCAGCGGCGGCACGAAAAATCAGTACCTCATCAAATGAGGAGACAGCGATAGGTGTAGCGGCCCCGAGAAGGACAAGCTTCGAAAAACGTGTGTCGTTTGAAGGTGGCGCAACGCCAGTAACTACTATGGAAAATCTCCCCGAAATGCCCGAATCTGGCTCGTCTGCTGCATCACCGGCACCACCTCTAACGGTTTCGGATAACAATGAGAATGAAGAAGGCATAGCGGCGAAAATTGCTAAGTAGTTCCGTTTACCGGTTAGATGGGAGCTCACGCAATGTACAACGTTGATAGTATGCTACACGATTTGAATTAAAAATTTAATTTGTGTTATTATTCTTACTTAGTTTATGTATGCATGTATGTATATGTTTCGTTGCTTGCCGAGAACTTATATTCCATAGGCCAGCCTATTAACCTACATATTACTTTTTCAAATATTAATATAGTGAAATATATTCAGCTACGACTTATCTATATATATATACAAAATAGGAGCGTTCCTTATCTCCCAGAAATAGTCAGAAAAAGTCCGAAGTAGTCAGATTTAGTCCAAAAAGCGTTCCTTAACTCGGAAATGACAGCAAAAATGAGAGAGCAACAGAAGAATTTTTTCTGGCAAAATCCTGAAAAGTGTCAAACTCAACTGAATTTAAATTAACGGAAATTAAAGAATACGCTAAAAGTGAGAATAATCTAAAAAGTAAAAGAAATGAATTGAAATTGGAAGAAGGCAAAAAATAATTGATATAGCAAGTGTTTATTGTGCTTGTGCTTGTGTGAATGTGTTTTGTACATACATTTCTGTTCTTATTTGACATTAGTTTTGTTGTTGCCATTCTTTGGACTAAAAATTTGGTTTTTTGCGTTCCTTTACTTTTCCTGTTATTCTCTTTTAGTGAGCGCATTTTGCTTACGCTCTGGCATTTTGACACTTTTCAGATTTTAGTCCAAAAAGATAAGGAATGAACCTAATGATTTTCAATTTAATGCATATGTGCATACTGTTAATCCCAAAACTAAAACAAAAAAAGAGCCGTACGCTCAATTTTGGGAGTAACAGTATGTATGTATGTATATGTATGATAGAATGTGTAGTAAAAAATGTTGATCACCTCATTTCGTCCGAACGGATGCCCACAATAACAATAACGTTAAATTGATAGTTCCTTGATGGGTTTTCACTTATGAATCAAAGAAACACAGCTAAATATGCATATATTTATTGGTTAAAATTTGAATGTTTAAAATTCTTCTTCTTCTGGCAGTTTGACAGTTTTCGCAAACTCGACCGGAAAAATAGCCCGGCCGACGTCGGGTTAGGGAGAGACAAAAATTTCTCTCTCAAAGTCGCTCTCAACAGCCCGAGAACCACGATTGAGAGAATACAAAGGTTGCGCCGATCTCGGACCGCTATTCCTCTCTTAACGAATTTGACAGAATCGTTGTTTGCATGACGTCACACTGGTGCCACTTGTTTACGTTTTCCTTGCAACATTTTTTCTTCTTCTTCAATTCTTGCTCACGTTTTGGCATTTCTCTCTCGCAATCGCACCAGTGTGACGTCACACACAAGTTATTCTCAAAAATCCTCTCCGATCGGCGCAATCTTGTATTCTATCATTCTTGCCCGAGAACCAACAAAAGGAACACAAATTGGGCACTTTCGCCCACCCGTGGGCGAGCAAAAGAACTAGCCCTGGGGGAAGATTCTGTAACCAGTTAGCGACAAGTTTCTGATCGATATCGCACTTGTTGTCGTAAAAATATTTCATATCATACGTCAACAAAACCGACGCCGATTCGAAAATTGTCGCTAACTGGTTACAGAATCTGTCCCCTGGGTAGTAGCTCAATTTTTTTGCGCTAGCTCAATAACTCCGGCACCACCTGTGGTGTCAGCGCAATAGCGCAGTGTACTGATTAGAAAAGCTGTGCGACGTAACCTCTATAGTAAAAAGTAGGGATGTCAATGGCAAAAATACATCGATGTTTTTCATTAGTTGCGTTCCAGATGCTTCACGATATTCACGATTTGCAGCAATAGCTGTTTTCTCCATAATAAACCTTATGGAAGGTGGTCACCTGGAACAACTTCCTGTAAAAACCTGCAAATCGTGAAACATCTGGAACGCATCTTTTGATTCGATGCGTCGAAATGTACATCGATATTTGTCGTTGCATCGAAGGGCATACATCGATTTGCATAGGATTTCTCAAATACTAGTTGCGATCCCGTACGAGTCGGGACTAGTCAGAAATAGTCAAATTTTACTGGAAATCGATCCCGTACTCGGTTCTCTGACTATTGAGAGGACAAAAAAAGAGAGTAAATACGGTTCTCTCTCTGTCAGAAGTTACCAGTTTTAGTCCGAGAATTTTTTGCTGGTAAATTCTGGTAAATATGTCAAACGATCAGCTGTAGTGTTTTTGGCAACCAAATTGTAAACAAAAGAAAAGTGCACTCTGCTAATTCATGTTGAAAAGTATTTAATTACTTGTTTAAGTGGATTCTAATGAATTTGAAAGTATTTTTGGTTATTTACATGTGTGAGCTGAGTGTGTTTGCATACAAAATAAGCAAAAATTTACAACCAAAATTTGGAGGTTATGTTGAAGTTGACAGAACTTTTCAATGTTACTCTCTCGCTCTGAGCGAATTTTTATTTTTTGACAGTTTTAGGTCGGTGTTATGCAGACAAACTTTTGTTTGCCAAATTAAATGGCGGCTGCTTAGTTTGCTCGGCGGTGGTTATGTCGAGTTTGGCACAGGGTTGCACGTTCATTATGGTTTTCATGGCTATTGCCAACACGAAATGAAAATTTCAGATGTACATAACGCGCACAATAAATATATTTTTATGATATCGTATAGGCAATTAACTGTGCCCCAATCTTTGAAGCTTCTACAGCATATATTCAGTTCCCTAGCTTTCGGTATCACGGCAATTTTTGTGTATAACAACAATTATCTAAAATTTTTGTATATGACAACACCGAATTTGCCGCAGTTTGACCAAACAAAATTAGTTTGCTGTGAGAGTCGCCAAACTCGCTCTCTCCGAGTTTGCTGCAACAACAATTGCACGCAGTTTGCCAAACAAAATTTCTGCATAACACCGGCCTTACTAGTCCGAGTCCGAGGAATACGGGAATGCACATGTTATTAGGACATTTGTACATAATTTGAGATAAAGTACAGCAACTGAGCTAATTATGGAACTTTTTGGAGCCATTCACAAAGCAATTTAAGTGAAAAATTATTTTTATTTTTTTTAATTATATATGGAAATTGACAGCAAAATAAAAAAGCACTTTCCATTTAAATTGCTGGTGAAACCGGCTGTAAAAATAGGAATTTGAAAAATTTCATTTACTCATTTTTGCCACTCAGTATGCAATAATCAGCATCAATTTCATTTTCCCCGAACCGGTTCACTTTTCACTTTTGGTTTCCATGGTTTTACTATGTGCGGATGACAAATTTTCGGGTGCAACTCAGGATAAGGCAGAATATTTTTAGCAAAGAAAAAATTTGCTAATTCCTAATCAACCGTGGCGCCAAGACGAATTTATACATATATGCCCTGGGATGCACTTGCATCGCAGACAAGCTTCCCTCCCTCCTTGTGGAATGCTTTGGGATCTTGGTAACGTAAAAGGCGTGACGTAAAATTTTATGCGGCTGTATGGCGTGGGGTTTTTCACTACAAGCTTCTTTAAGGCAGATAACTCCGGAAAAGGGATCGAACCGAAACACAAATGGTGGCCTATGACGTGTGTCATAGGATTCATCCAGATGCAAATAGTTGTTTGCGAACAAATATAAAATATCTGCTGGCGAATACAAACTTTATTTAGATTTGAGATTATTAATTACCATGGCTAATGTTTCTAATTTTAATCGTTTTATTTCAAGCTCTGTTTCTCGCGAGGACTGTTGAATGCGGTGCTTTTCCTCCTTGATCGCCAGGAATCTTTCTTGCACGGCCAGCAACTTCTCCTGCATCTCCAACAACTTATCTATTTTTGCATCCATATTTCTTTGAAAGTCTGCAACAGATTTTAAATTCATTTGGAGGAGTTTCAACTCTTCATCACTCCCACTTGCTCGTCTTTGTATGTCGCTGCGTTGTGTTTGGAGGAGTTGTAACTCTTCATCACTCTCACTTGCTCGTCTTTGTATGTCGCTGCGTTGTGTTTGGAGGAGTTGCAACTCTTCATCACTCTCACTTGCTCGTCTTTGTATGTCGCTGGGTGGTGTTTGGAGGAGTTTCATCTCTTCATCACTCCCACTTGCTCGTCTTTGTATGTCGCTGCGTGGTGTTTCGCTACGAGTGGAAGTGAATGCCGATGGTGATGGGCCCGGCAAGCCGCTATGGGTTGAGCTTGCCTCTCTGTCGCCGAAATTGCTGTCACCACTGTCACTGCTGTGCTTGTATGATTCTGCAGATGGTGCATTTCCGCACGCTGGCTCACTTTTGTCGCTTTCATCACAAGCCTTCAATCCGGCGGCCTCAAGTATCAGCTCCTCAGAGGCAGTAATGACCTTCTCAGTATAGATTCCTCCTCCAGATTTATTGTGGGAAAGTTTTTTCTTCGCCTGATATTTTAGATCGGCGAAAACCTGTAATCAAACGCAAATGTCAAAATGTCCTAATAAAATTTAAAATGAAAATCATTGTGAGAATACCTTCTTCCACTTCCGCCAATCCTTAAATGGTGGGCCTACTGCATTTAGTTGCATAGAAAGCTCCTCCCAGAGACTGATCGATTTAGCTCTGCCTTGTGCGAAATTAGAAAATTTGCTCTTAGCCAAGTTGGGGTGCTCGGCCATAAACTCCACCATTACATCCTTTTGGGTAGGGTTCAGTTTAGTATAATTGGACCTAAAATAACAAAAAGTGTTAAATCTTTTATTCTTACACATTTCAACAATTTACTTACATTTGCGTTGTTTGGTTCGCGCTCGATTGACAGGTAGTGTTCGAATGACATTTCGAACGAACGAGTACGCTCACCACTAGTTCCCGTATTTCATCAAATCGAATTACGATATAAAAGATTCGTTCACATGTTACATCAAACCGAATTACGATAAAAACAATACGTTCACGATGTCAAAATCCGAAAAATGTGAGTTTTACGTGACGTTAATTCGATCACGTATGAGACCAAGGTGAATTTATAAATGGTGGTGTTACTAGATCAGCTGATTTTGTGTGTATATTTCGCCTCACGGCTTAAGACTGTCAAAATGAAATTTTTTTTTTTTCTTTTTTGGATTTTCACGCACATATTCGCCTTGCGTGAGAGGAGTCGAGCCCTGTTGAGATCTTTCAAATGCTAATACGCTAGTAAATAAAAATACTTCTTTTATATTTGAAGTGAAAAAATTTTATATTTATTTATTAATTAAATTTTTCACAAAAAGGACGGATACAGTGTGGCTTATAAAAAATGTATTTTTATAAAAGCTTTTCGTTTGCAATTTCTTTGCTTAATATTTGCTTGTATATACATACGCATGAATGTCTGTAATTATTAAACATATATTTTTAAGCAAATATTTATACAGTAAGACTATTTGTTTGTGTATACGTCACTAACAACTACTACAGGTGTTCGTTTTATTCAATAATACAATTTCAATAAAAAAATTTATAAGGTAGTATAAATTTTAGTTTTAATTTCGTCTCATTTTATGACTTTAATAAAGAAAATGCACTTTTGATTGCAATGATATGCTCTACTTAACTAAGATACAAGGCTTTTGCCGTTTATAAGACACATTTGTATTCTCTTCATTTACGCACTTAGTACGCAAAATTTTTAATTAATTCGAGATTGCTATTTATTTCAAGTTACGAATCCTATTTGAGATGTAAGCTACCTGAAGTCCTCTGCTATATAAAAAAAAAATACGTACTTAAATATCAGCTCATTTAGCTTTGTACATATGAGATTTTCAGTGTTTATACTTAAAATAAAATTATTGATTATTGTTGGATCTCATCGTTTAATTACAATCAACGCTTTTTCAACAAAGATTAGCATACTGCATTAGATTAACATAAAAGAAAAGGTTACTAAATATAAATAAATTGCAGCAAAATAGAGTTGGCGCAAGAACCGGTTGTCAACTAATGACCACAGTATTGGACGGAACACGGTTGCTGAGCGTTGCTCTGGCAACTAAGTTACATTTAAAAACTACGTATGTTTCGTAACGTTGGTTTTTTCGGAGTTTTTTTTTTTATATAAATATTCGAGCGACTAAGGAACCAGCTGAGCATGCTATTCCACTGTATTACATCCACTTGTCTTTTCTAGCTGATACTATAGGTATTTTAAATGGTGTGCAGTATGTGAACACTAAAGATTTGTATATGAAAAAAAATAATAGTTGAGGGTAAAAATCGTCAATTCTAAGCTTAATATTAAACACAAACTCAAATATTGGGACCAGGAAAAGTATACAGGAACGGCACAAACCTGGATTTTTAACTATCTTAGGGGTGGCTTATGTGAACAAATACAGACAATTAAGCACTACATGCATTCGACTGCGCATTAGATATATAAATACGCTAAAGAATAGAAGTGACACAGACATAGTAGCTCGCCAACCCATATTGTAAATGGAACAGTATGGACACTGCGAACTGCCGCACACTTCACAAATGTTCAGCAGGTATGTGGGTAACGCATCGAAAATGGACTCGTTGAAGCGCTCTGTAAAGTATAAGATGTGAAAACAATAAATACAAATTTTAGTATAAAAGTAGACAATTAACAGAACAACATCGAAATAAACTCATTCCGTACCTGGCGCATAGTAGTCGTAGACGCGTATGGGCAAATAACGTGACATATTCGCCACTGGGAACCAACGTTCGATAGTGAAATTAACACAAATATCCTCTTGATCAAGCTGCAACGAAAAAAAAGAGGAAATTCGTTTACGAAAATTCAGTTATTTAAAAACCACAATACTTACATAGTCAAAGTAGAAGATAACCTTCTGGTGAGTGTATTTAGCCCGACGTAAATTTCGCACACGATTGCTTAGCACGTAGTGATCGAGACGTTGTTGTTGTATCCAATAGCCAGTAGGTATAGCGACATCAAGCACCGCCATACCGGAGCGTTCCGATTCGCGTGTATTAATCCAACTGAAAAAAGTTTATAATTAACAAAAACTTTCGTTTAGTACAAACAAAATTTAGTTCAAGCAATTTCCTCACTTTTGACAAGCGACGTATGATATGTGCGACTGATTTCTGCCGTGGAAGATGGCTCTAGTATGCAGACCGAATGCTGGCACAGGCGGTTTCGTCTGGAATTTCGCTATGTCAACATTGTATTGCACATGCATTTGCAATATCGCATAACCAGCACCTTTGGCTTGCACCTTAACTGTTCCCCAAGATTCGGGTATCTGTTGGGAAAATAAGAAAACATTAAAAAATATGTATATATGTATTCTTAAGCCCCACTCCCAATCAGTAAACTCACCTCAATACTTTGCAGCTGCGCCAAATTCGTGTCATCGATGTGTAAGGCTTGTATTTTGCCGCCTTGCGATGACGCCTCTATTTCCACCGTCAAAGATGAAACCTCACGTATGCGCGAATGTACTGTATACTCGACAAGCGCACGCAATGCTGCACTGGTATCTTGTGTAGATGCCCAGCCGCCATCGTTCAGACGTTGCGCATTCAACCAACGTACTATTGGATCGACAATAAATTCACGGCGAGAGACGTAAACTAGCAACGCATAAGCAGTTGTCTCAATATTCATAGCATCAAATTCGTATGGCAGCCGCGGTAGTGAGAACCATTTTTGATTTTCTAATTTCTTTGGCGGTTGTGGCACCTCTTTGCTACCCCAATACATAAAATCACCGATTACACGTGCATGTCGCCGCAATATGGAAAAGACATGCTCTGCCATTGGTGACTTGCAGAGTAGGAGGGCATATGCAGTGAGGGCGACGTCATATGGCTCTTCGGTATCTTCCAAGAATTGCATATTGCGTTCGATCCATGATATGGCGCGTTGTTGTGCCAGCGCAACACGCGCGCCCAGCGAACCGGAAAGATCTTTAACCGAGGCCAATGAGATAAGTACGTGCGAGGTGAGCGTAACGTTGCGATTTTGTAAACTAGTATTATTGGCAAAATTCGTGCGATTCATCTTGCGATCTGGCAGCCAAGTAACTTCGTAGAAACCACCCTCAGGCGTCTGATGTTGCAGTAACCAACGCATATTCTTCTCGATGATAGTTGGGTCAATCCAAATAAAATTTTCCCATTCGTAGAAGGAAGCTTCCTGTTGGAAAAAAAACGAAATAAAACAAAAAGAAAAATGGAGCATTAAAATGGATACGGTATCGGTCATATCTACAGCAACCCCATTTCAAAGTTATGCCGCTTATGTTTATTTATTTTTAAGACTTCTCAATTAAAATACGGTTCATTCTGTTACAAAAGCTATGCAAACCCACTATGTGTTAACCCCAAGTTTAAATTTTTTTAGAAAATTGCAAAAAAAAAATCAAGAAATTTTCACCAATTTCTATTTTTTTTTTGTTAGAAGTGTTACGAGTTTTTTTTGTGTATACAGTTTCATAGCCCATTAAATTTTAGTCTGATAATGCGAAAGTTTCGAGTAGCTAAACATTACCATTAATCTTTTAGAATTTTTGTATCGTATGGAAGTCATATAACGAATAAATACAATTTATTTGCGTATGGAAAAAAAAAACCGCAACACCCTCGGCAAAACAATTCTAAACTTAAAAAAAAAACTGGAACTTCGGCCCGAAACCCCGTTTTGTGGTTTCCCGCGATTCTTGGGAATGATGAGCTCAGTACATACCATAAATCATTAAAAATAAACTTGATCCAAATCAAAAAACTGAAACTTCCTCAATTCACCATCACTCACCTGGAAAATACGGACGCAATACGCAGTTAACCACACGGACGAGGCAGAGTTATTCCAATCCGACCGGAAGAGTGAGAATGAGCCATCTGGGCGCATGAAGCTCAATTGGCGTTGATAGCCAATATTCATGTGATAGAAGGCATGCTTTTCCGTTGTCTTATTACGTTGATTGATCAAACGCATATACATGATTGTGTACAGATTCGCAGCAAATGAGAATGCATTCTGTTCCGCCGATTCCATAGGTAAATAGAGCAGTGAAGTAGCATTCACTGGCATCGTGGGGAAAATCGGTCCAACCACATCGCCCACAACGGAGATACGTGCTCGATTCGAGCCATAGACAAAATAACGATCCACTTGGTATGGTATCTCTGGTGTTTGTGTAATATTCACATGCATATATTCAAGTACGTAAGCGCGATTCGAAAGATCCAAGAGTATGGATTGATGGCGATATTGCGGCAAACCATCCGATTCAACATGCAGACGCCGTGTAATTGTATCGGTACCCAGCAAGGTGGCCACATGCAATGTTACATCGATATCACCCAACTTTTGTGGCACCACCGGCACATAAACCACCGTAGTACCCTGTGCATCCAAGTAGATGAAGAACTGATGCTCGCCAAAAGAGGTACGTGGATTGTAGGAACGTACAATACCATTTTCCTCGACATGCACAAACTTATAATCCTTGCTGCCATGCAACACTACCGTTGCCTCTATGGGCGTGGTCATGTAATTGAAGACAGTCACACGTATGCCAACCTGTTCGCCTTGTCGACAATGCGTGGGCATCTCGACGTTAATGAAAAACGGTTGTACGCCAACATACTCAATCGCTTTGTTCAACATACCGAAACCTTTCGAGGGGCTAACACTGAAGGCGCTCACCATCCAGTAGGCAGGGCGATCTGGCACCTCAACATTGAATATATAACGTCCATGCGGTCCAATATTTACATCTTTCCATAGCCAAACATTTTCGTAGTGTCGCAAAATGCGATTAAAACGATACTTGCGATAATCTAATAGTTCTGTGTCATTGCGTATGCGACAACCAATTTCATCGGTACCATCATCACAGTCAAACAGCCCATCGCATTTCTTATTTAGCGGATAGCAACGTCCGGACAGGCACTCGCCGTAACCGAGTGTGCGATTACAAGTGTCGTAACGCCGCGGTACATAGCCATCCGTGAACACAATTAACCCGCTGTATTCGAAGGTGCGATTCGCGTCGATGCCGAACGACGAGGCGGGGAAGTATACTAGCTCATCGGGTGTGCCCTCATGCGTGTGCCAGACGTGCTTGTATGTGCCATTTGTTTGCTCATCGAATGTTGACATTTTAGTAACTATTTTCGCATATGTCAACTCATTGCCTGCCTGCATGGTGTAAAACGCGCTGTCGATGCCGGAGAGCCCCACATATGAGCCAGCTTCACCGAAAATGGCCACTTCAACCTTTTCACCCGTGCGTGCTTTACGGTTATTAATGTAGACCGTGAAGTTGTTTCGCGAAATGCCATTCACCGGGAATGTCAGCGAATCCGCAACTATTTGGCCAGCGAGTGTTATCTTCCAAACGACAATCGTAGCCACTGGGGCCATCTCTGCGCTCAGTACAACTGCGATAGTGCGTATGCCCTCTATTATTGTTTCCCGATCGTTTACCAGTATTACACCCTTGGACATAATCAAATAGTTGAAGTCCTCCAGGTAGAAATTCGTACGTATGTGGAAGATGATGTATTCGCCAACGACCGGCGTATCTGTGCTCGTGGAAACCTTGATATGTTGATTGCGTGGCGAATAGTGTGACACCATCAGAAGTTCTGTTTGAGCGCGTTCACCGCGTGGATCAATGAAACTCGCTTGCAGACGCATACGTTCTACGCCATTTAAGAAATCCCGCGATTGGGCACGATCATCTAGCTGTAGATCATTACGTAGATCCACTTTCACAGCCCAGATACCAGGACTAGCGGCGGACATTTGCAGTCGCGTCGGTGGCCAATCTCGTCGGCCTCCACTCTTGCTTTCCACAAAGCCGGTGACATCCATTATACCTTGCTGTAGTAGATTTTTATGAATTGGTGAACCATCATGATACTCTACGGCCAGGTAAGCGGTGAACGGCATGGAGGGCTTGAAGACTTGTGGCGACTCGCCTAAGAAGGCCACACGAATGCTGGAATTGTAGACGCGCGCAATTGCATAGCCTGAAGTCACTTCGTCGTAGAATTTTTCGCCAACTGTAGCGGTGATTAATACTTCCATGCCTGTAGGAATTGTCGGAGAAGAAAGACATAATAAAACATTAAGATTCAAATACATAATTACTGTTGGAATATTCCCGTAAAAGTGAAAAGTTGAAAACCCGAAACACGAATACAAATAAAAGTCTCAATACGTTCGACATTTTCGAGAACTTTCAAAGTTTAAGAGATTCGTTTTGGTATTTTAACATTTCTACATGAACTCACCCGCCAGTTGTGGCACCAAAACCTCCAGTTCGCGTACTGGCCATTTGAAATGGAATGTACCGTTGAAGTAGCGCAAATAAGGTAATGTCTTACGATAACTACCCGTCCAAGAATCGTACGTATCAGGCACATCGGGTTTGCGCACCCAGAAAGGCCATTCCTCTTCAAATTCATAATGCCGCTCAACAACGTACTGATTGCGATAAAGCATATCCTGATTACGATTAACATCTTCTGGTGTAGGCACTGGACTGTATTGATTGTAGTACAGTTCTTTCTGATGTTGTAAATAACGTGCAGCTTCTTCGGTGGGTGAACGTCCCAAGCGGAATTTTTCGTTTAGCACCTGATTACTGAAGTATCCGATAGGTCTTATCGTTGCTTTCAACGTCAGATTGCCGCGTACTGGGTGACCACTAGTGAAATTGGCCATCACGCGGCCATGAATAAATTGGTCGGTGGTGAAAAAGAATGCTGGCATTGTGACATTTACTTCAAAACGAGTCTGATAATACTCTTCTACACTGAAGTGCCCTTCTTCCACTTGACCTTGTGCAATTACACGAATTGTCCACTCACCAAAGGTGGGTTGATCAGCGAGTTTGTATTCCAAAGAGACGGAACCAAGATTCGATTGGCTGCAATGGAAACAAAAAAAAATACGTTAAACAAGCACGTAATAGGTTAATTTTCTTACCGTGATAGCCAACGCCGCAAAATATGTTTATTCGGATCCAGCATATAAACGTCAATTGCATTATCGAAGCCCTTCAGCTCAGTTGTGATCGGTATCGAACGGAAACGCACAGTTTCGCCCTGCATGTACAAAGGTTTGTCGGTTTGTATGAATATACTCATCGAACGTTGCGAAAAATCCAAGCGTGTTTCATTCAGAAAGGCCAAACCACCGAACACATCTTGATAAAAACCCTCTACTCGCAGTTTGTACTCCCCATTGACGCTCGTAGGCGGCACGCGCATCAACATCGTTTCGGGTACGCCCACTTTTACATCTTTGGAATCACCACTGATCTGCACACCATCACACGAAATACTGGCATGCACCGTTACTGGGTACTGAGCACGCAATATCGATACCGCAACCTTATAGATGAGGCCAGGTCGCACCATGCGTGATGCAACAATAAAATAAGTCGGTTCACGCGTATGGAACGATTCTAAGAAAGTTGCTTTTACATTGTACGAAGTTTTGCCACGGCCGAAATTTAAATCTTCCTCACCGCCATAGCCAGCATTCGGACGTTCATCAACTGGCAAATCATTGAAGTTATCGGTGCGATAGCGTGTGCGATCGGGATCATTCGTATTATAATTTGTATTTTGGTTAAAATTCGTATTGAGATTCTGATTCGTATTGGAATTCTGATTATAAGGATCATTATTGAAGCGTTGATTCACATCATCGTAGGCTTGAGAGCCAGGGAATGGATTTTGTGGATTATTTTGATTGTATACTTGCTGTTGTTGTTGTTGTTGTTGCTGCTGTTGTTGTTGTTGTTGTTGCTGCTGTTGTTGTTGTGTATTATAGTAATTCTCTTGTTGTGCAGCGACTATGTTTAAATTGCAACAGAGCAACAGCAATGCGGCTGCAAGAAGCCACTGTTTGAATGGTGGTGAGTAGGACATGAAGGGCTGTAGCATCCCGTTGGGATGCATTTTGAATACCTTTGTAAGATCTGCAAGTGAAAAAGAAAAAAAAAATAGTGACATGCGGCATATAAGATGACGTAATCATATCTCTAAACCACCCGCTTTTATGAAT